GGCGTTTAATATCGCATATGGAATCTATTTTTCATCACCGGTAACAATTCTGTCCAAAAATGGTTTACGCGTATTACACGCCAGAAGAGACGACGTAACGTTTACATGTTGGAAAAGATGATCATCGGAGAGCTAGTGAGGCACCCAAACACCTTCTTTAAGGAGTTTTCCTATATCCCTTAGATGTTTACGTATTGTTTAATGAGAGACATGCAATTTCAGGGCCATTTCACGAGTGTGTTGCCTTGGGTTAGACTCTTCAGAGCATCATTATCAATTCTAACATGTCGGCCCCTGCCATCACAGTTTTTAAGGCTAAAGTCACCTGAACGAAATTTGCTGAATCATCGTTGACACTTACAAACGTTCGAAACATTTCCATAAACTTCTTTGATATTCTTTGTGGCTACAGATGCGTTGTTTCCCTTCTTATATTCAAACAGCATTAAATGCCGAACGTGTGTCTCGTCGTGTGCCATCACCATAAAATATTAGAGTATACTAAACTTTACACATTATATAGGCTACACCAACGTGACGTTTAGGCGGTTCGTTTAACTATTAAATGTGATGTATGTTTTTTTTTGGGGAGGGTGGGAGGGGAGTGAATGAAAGTGTTTCAAAACGCGATATTAATTTCTTGACGACCTAATATCACTTTGTCTCATTCATTTTCCCAAACACTTCTCAGAATTTGTGTATCTGTTTTACCTGAACCATATTTTGTGATGCAATTAATTTTTGAGATAAAATTCGGAGTTTTTTGTTTGATTATTGTTTTTAAGACTCTTGCGTTGGTGTTAAATGCCCGGATGGAAGAGCTTGCAAGATGAAGCGAGGGAAGCCCAAGTGTGTGTGTAGACCAAAATGTCCGAAACGGAAACGTCGAATGGGAGTCGTGTGTGGAAATGACGGAAAAACCTATAGAAACATCTGTAAATTACTGAAAGTTCGCTGTAGAAAAAACTCAAATTTAGAAGTAGCATATTTCGGTCCATGTCAAGGTTAGTATGTAGATTTCCTGAAGATATGCAGAAACTTCTCATAAAATGTACTAAACTGTGACCTATCTTTTTTTTGAGTTTGTTGGTAATGATAATGTTATTATCATTACAGATATTTTACATTTTGTTTCATCTTTCATGGATTCATTTTATCCCAATCCACTATAAAATCTCTGTACATATATGGATCTAACAAAGTTAATGAATAACAAATGATGTGTATATTGAATATCTGTGAAATTCAGAATTCAGTGTGACATAAAAGTAATTTTTGAGAGCAAAGATAGTCATGAAAATTAACAGAGTGCTAAAGATTGATAAACATGATTAGTCTTTATTAGACATAAGTTATCATACAACTTGATGAATGAATTAGAAATGGTAACTGAGATATTGTATCTTTATAAATAATTGATAAATAGAAGTTAAGTTATGATTAGATGCTAAAGGTTGGTATGATATTTGATCAATAATTGAGAACTATAGATTAGTACATGATATACAACTCTATTTTATGAAATATTGAGAGCTAATGACTGATCTGTGATGGATGATTAAACTTATATTTCACGAATTACTGAACGCAAGTGACGTACGTACAATATATAATGAATCGTAAGTGACGCAAGTGACGTACGTACAATATATAATGAATCGTAATCCTAGATGTTGATATTTGGTAACTGGTTCATATCGCTGTTCTTTGATGTCTTTAAAATTATTTATATACTTGGTAAATTAGACGGTTAAAGTTGATCATTTTTTACAAGGTGTATAAAACTGTCTAACGTAAAGTAATAATATTCTCTTAAGTACTCAGAGTATGGTGAAATGGTTGAATATTAGAACTGAAGTTGATTTGGTTTTACTGTGTATTTGCACACTTTTGTCTTACAGGTTACAAAGTTAAAAACACACACAGTTTTGTACATAGGCATATGAAATTGTACGACATTCCTCACTAATGTGACTAATAACATTGAAAGTTATTTATCGCATTCAGTAGTTAATATGGCAATATATGTAAAAATGGTGTATAAAATTTATTTGTGACTAGAAATGACTTGCAAGATTTTAAAGAAGTGAGCAAATAAAAAGTTTTACGAACAAAACAAATGCAATGCCTTCTGCCTTTAAATCAATTCTGTAACTTTTCCTGTGACGCCACGGTTAAACGAAGGACCAGTTATATATATATATATATATAGGGAACGTACTTCCGTTTTATTCAAAATACCCTTTGCATTGGAAGCATCAAAAAGATCTAATTTATTCAAACCAGTTAGCTATTTATTTACAAAAAAATACTTTGTAAATTCCAGTATTGGACATTATAACTAGAATGAGGTTTTACATTTAAACTATATAGTATTATACATGTGTACAGGCATTAGTGTTTCCCTTCTTTAATGTATGTTTCTTAATCATGTACGTAAATATGACATCAGTAAAAGATCAAAAGCTCAGTTCGACCACCCACTCTTAAACAAAAGACAGAGCCGATCAGCTCAATACCAATTACTAACACAATAGTTTTCCACTCAGATAGCAGCTGTGACAACGTCCAGTGTCCAGGAAAGATGACTTGCCTTCTTGACCAATACCATCAACCTCATTGTGTACATTGCAGAAAACACTGTCCAGTTAAAAAACGACCTCGTTTCTTATGCGGCTCCAACAACTCCACCTACACCAGCCTTTGTGAATTAAGAAGAGCTGCCTGTTTAGAGGGCAGGGCGATCAAAAAAATCTATAGAGGACGCTGTAAAGGTGACTATACGTTCAGTTAAGTTTTATTACATCTATCTAATATAATAAGAAGCATGCATTGCTATAAAAACAGAAGTGGTTATTTTTCTGTTTGTTCTGATTGACATAAGTGTGTGTGGAACTCACAGAAATCAATAGACTATTGAATGTAAAAGAATATACTTACAAACAAAATTACCTGGTAGTACCTCTTGTGTCTATTTTCGTAAAAATATATAAGACAATTATAAATTAAATTGATCTTTAAGCAAGGCCCATAGCTCATGGTTTTACGACAACATTCAACGTTATCGACTTAAACTTGAGTCGATATTGTTAAGAGATATTTCCTAGTTCTTTGACACGTAATGATGTTTGTTATATCGAATTTCGCACAAGGCTACTCGAGAGCCATCTCCGCAAATTGTCCCTAGTTTCAAGTGATTGACTAGAGGGAAAACAATCACCACCCACCTCCAGCTATAGGGCTACTATTTACCAGCGAATAATTGTAATGACCGCCACATTATAGCGCTCCCGCGGCTGAAAGAGAGCGCATTTTTGGTGACGAGTTTCGATCTCTCTACCCATAGATGGAGCGCTCTAACCACCAAGCCATGCCATGCTTATGTAAATATGGTCTAGATACTTTCTTCATGTAATTATTTGGAAAATAAAAGTAATAAGAAAAACATCAAAAGTTATCGTAGATCTAGAAAATTTATCCTTGTTTTATTTTTTACATGAAGCTCAGTAAATTTCTTAACCATTAATTAAAAATCAAAAGCTTCAATACTTAGCCACAATACAAGTATGAAACAATGGTGCAATACAGTAACTGTATTGTTTTTATTATTGATCATTATGTTGGCCTAAAAAACCAAAACAATGAACATACAAAACATATTATAAGGTTTTAAACTGAGGGTAACTGTTTCTTAAAAGAGTAAAAAAAATTCTTTCTGTTTTTTCATAGGTTAGAGCTAAATAAGATTTTATTTCGTAACTTCTTTATTAATGTGCTTGCAGAAAGCTAGACCGTTAACGAGAAACCTCAGATGACTGAAAATAAATTCAAACCTCATTATTAGATAGGTTTATGAAGTTGTGCTGTGTTATGTTTTAATGGCAAATAACAGGTTATATTACTAAGTCTTGTTCAGCCACCGAATGTAAAACATCGTGACCTTGCAATACAGTGACAGACAGGTTTCCCAAGATAGGTACGTCAAACAGCAGAGACTAACTAGAGCATGGCGAGCGGAGCAGCTGCCCCGTGAGCAAAACAGTGAGGGTCGGTAAAATGACCGAAATGTATTATTCGATGAATAGTTTAGACAGAGTATTCATGGTGAAATTATGACCGAAATGGTTTGCAACCACACTCACAAGCGAATACAAATCTGCAGTGTGTGCTAAATTGTCTGGTTACGGCTCTGTCAAAAAGCATAATGGAGGTTGGAATATGATGACGTTACAACACAGTGGCAGATAAAGTGCCTCAAAGAAGGAATATCAGAAAGTCTAACTAGTGTTGGAATATGATGACGCTACAATACAGTGACAGACAAGGTATCCTAAAGAAGGTGCTTGAAACAGTGTAACGGGTGTTGGAATATGATGATAATACAGTGACAGACAAAGTACTCTAGTGAAGGTGTATCAAACACCTAATGGTAGTTGGAATACGATAAAGCTACAATACAGTGTCAAACAAAGTATCCCCCCAATGTGTATAAAAGAATGTAACGGGTGTTGGAATACCATGAAGTTATAATACAGTCACATTTATGGTACCACAAAGAAAGGTATGTTAAACATTGTAATGTTAGTTGGCTTGTTTTCAGTAAAGTTTACTCCAGGAAGTTGTTTAGAACCATGGACGTCTTAGTCGTGTACATTTACATTTGCTGCTGCTGATATTCAACTATCAAGTTAAAGAGCACGATTCAGGAAAATTGACTAAAGAGTATATTAATACGTGAGACTTTACAGCTGGTGGCATGACTGAAATAGGCACAGTCATAAATTAAAAGAAGATCCAGAAATAGTTCCTATACTTTGTCTCGTCCGACCTAGATTTTCGTCGTTCATGGAACTGATTCCGCATGTCTAATCACGAAAGAGTTTGTTAAAATTACTTGTATTCTAAGCAGGGCCAAGGAAAGAAACCATTAGATCTTTTGTGTGGTGGTAAATCAACCCATACTCTGTCAGCAGAAAACCACGCCATCGGTCGGCATCATGCTTTTGGACTACTAGTCGGAACTAACACCGAGTTTATGTCTCATAAAACTTAGTGCACATTAATGTTAACGGCTCGTAAAGTTCCCGCAGAAAATTCGTGGTCCTGTCGCGCCAGTAATAAAAGTTTTTGGGTTCCACACCACCCACAGACTCAATAGTCCTCTCAAGGTATAGCAATAAAAACGTGAGGAAAGACGAACCTACCAATCCAACCTGTGGAACCATTGACTTGAAGAGCCGCACGGTCCAGAGAAAAGTAGCTGATCAGTGGAACTGTAGTAGTGTCGGCGAAACGAGAGAATGATTATGTAGTTACTATCGTTTTGTTGACTGAAAACCTTATTCGAACTACCTCGTAAATCATCCGTCTGTCCAATTTAGCCCTGAATAGTTAGTCTCAGCTGCACTGAGTCCATAGTGAAATCTATATTCATGACGGGCTTAAAACATGCTCTATTTCACTATTTTCGTTGTAAGAAAAAGATAAAATAGCATTATTAAGAGTTAATTTAGCATTTGAGATAGAATTAGGTTCACCTCATAAATAGTTCATGTTAACAGAAGCGATGTATCACAGTGAAGCCACGTGACGAGTGCAATGATTCTTGAGAAATTTGCTTCCTGAATGTCATATTTTTCCCTAATGGAAAACACAAGTATTGTAAAAACACTGATTTTGTTGAGGAATTTGATTTATATATTATTATCTTACTTCAAATGGTTCTAATTGTAACTGTTATGCTTACGAATAAAGCTAGTGCTATTGTACAGTTGATCACCACAGTCGTGATCTTGACATTTGGGAGGTCGAGGTGTACATCATGACCATTTGAATGTTTCGCTCCAAACATTTAAAACGTATGCTTTACATACGTGGCTCAGTTCTTGTAGTGGAACTATAAATACTCTGTATGCATTTTATGATATAGTAAAACGTCAGAGTCAGTTAGACCTCCGAATAGTAAAAAAATAATATTTTTTTATACTGTACTATATGAGTAGAGCCAAGAATGGGCGGAAAGAAAAATTAGCAAAGTATATTTAGAACCGAGTTTGTTATAAGTATAAATATAGGTTTGCCTAGAATATCTTGTAATAAAAAATAAGAAACAGCTATTTCCAAGTCGGCCTGAACATTTTAACCTTCCGATTACTACCTTCTGTTTTTATACCGTTTCCACTACCGGATGGGGGATCCACATATAGCCCCCTATTAAGTAATCTTATGGTTTTGTCTGTACTCAGTGTAAAGAACTGATCAAAACATTAGTTAAGATAATTCATTTTCTATGCATTGCTTAACACTTTGGTACAACTCTCTGATTCACGGCGTTTTACTTTCTATTAAACCAAATTTCTGCTGTATTATTATTTAACATTTGTTAGGACCTTCATTCTATACTCATCATTGTGTCAATATTGAAGAAAGTTCATTGTGTAGATGTTCGATAGTGGCTACTTTAAAAATTACAATAACGTCATTAAATCAGAATAAAAAAAACTCCTATCCGTGTAGCTCAGCGGTATGCCTATAACACAAAAAATCGGGTTTCGATACTTGCGGTGGGCAGAGCACAGATAATCCCTTGCATAGCTTTGTGCTTAACGAAAAACAGAATAAAAAATTGTATTATGGAAAAAGTAGTATTTATATAATAGTGTGTGTTTGTATTTTATTTGTGTAATTCTTATCATATATGACTCATTTTTGATTGAAGCTAAACATCTGAAATCCTTCGGCTGTTTTTGTTCTTAGATTTTCCAGACATGCAAACGATACTTAAATGTTTTACTATATATGCACATGTTTTTTATTTCCGACGAAATTTAACTATTATTTGCCTTTGAAAATCTATTAACTATATCATATTGCCATCTATACAATCATGTATTTTAGATATTTAAGTCTAAGTTTTTGAATAAAGATTTATGTGTGTATCATTATTACATTTATGTATTTGATTCGTAGTTATTAATCAATAGTAACAGAAAGGCTCCTTGTAACTAACATTCAAAAATTAATATTCGACTAGCTTTATGCTTTTAATCTTCTTTCATTTCTTGTAATTTCATTTTTCTCTAAAATGTGGCCGTTTTGGTAATTATGCACAAGTTGAATAACTAAATATTATGAAATATCTATCTTGAAAATAATTTACGATATACAGAGCGTGGTCACAAGTAAATAGACACCATCTTTTGAGAAAAAAATGAAAATTTTCAGTCATATTCACATG